GACAATGTGGGCTTTTGTTACCACAAGTTTGGTACTGTACATGTTAAATACCTTGTTTTGATTCTCTTTTTACTTGTCATTGGTATTGTTATTTCAGTTTATCTTTCAATGGAACCCTGTACAGTAATCCTAGACCATCCGTATAACTGAAATCCTATAACAACCCTACCATTCCGATCAATTATCATAACATTAACAAGAAACCTGACTCTCCAAGCTATATGGCCTGGCTGGTCATCTGCAATATAATGTGGACATAAAATCTACTAGATTCGGGGTCCTTGTCTATGTACAGGCAACAACAAGTAACAACAGCCTTAAACAGTCATTTTCTGACTCAACGTCCACATTGAACGATGTCTGTGATGAAAACATTGCTGGTAGTATATTCTGAATTATCATGTGTCATACTAAATGTAACCAGTATACCCGCTATTTTTACAAGTTTCAGAGCTGCCGTCTATAACTGTTTTATTCCGAAAAGTCTCAGTTTTGTAACTGTCATGGTACTATATATCATATCATATACTGATAATTAGATAACGGATATATCCTGACATAATGATATCTTAATTACATAACTGCACACCGTTAACAGTTAAAGTATGGAACCGTTACTTTAGTCTGGGAGAGCATGCGTTTGGAAAAGCTTTAGAGCTGGTTACGGGTGTAATTTTCACGCAAGCGTTGCTTACAAAGAGGGTTTGGGGTAAACTCTTAAATGTAAACGAACCCTTATTTAAGTTATTGGTCTGGTGAACCACCCGTACTTTTGAAAGTTTTAGAATACCTTACAAGACATATTTATAACGTACGAAATGTGGCGGTTTTCCGAAAATTTCGCCATATTTTCGGACCGCCAAAATTTTGGTCGTCGTAATAGAATCCGTCGCATTATCTTTTAGCTTATTTCAATGACTGTGCCTTCACTGCTTTATTTTGTTTCTAAAAAGTAATATCAAGTAAAATAAATAAATAAATTCTGGCATCTTGGGACAAATTATTACCACACCAATGACGAATTGAATGTCAAGCAATACAGTTTAAATTTGCATTAAAATACATGTATGTGCTAACATGAAAGTCTTACAGTCTTAATACAGACTAAGTTTGAACATGATTTTACCGAATTTCAGAAATTTCCTTACTGCTTACTGTCACAAAAAATGTTGAAAAATACCCTTATTTTCTGTGACGTCCGAAATTTGACGGTTTTTGTTCAATTTCGCCATATTTTCGGACCGCCAAAATTTCGGTCGTCGCAAATTAGGCCGCCATAAATATGTCTTGTAAGGTAATCTTTGTTGGTTTTATTCGTAATTCTGTAATTCAAATTGTTTCGGCCGTTGGGTATGCGCGCCGTACACTTTGTTTATCTCTTGTTGCTTACGAATATGATTGATGATACAGTTATACTTAAGTTCGTGTACACTTCCGTTAGGCATGTCAACAATTAGCGTCATTCTAATATACACATGTTCTACTCTATACAAGTTAACATAAAAAACAAAAGGTGACGCGTTTTTCTCATAACTAGGCGGACCAAGTGAACTATTGTCTTTCAGTTTTCCTTTTGTCTGCTAAATGGGGTTTGCTTGGCTCTTGTTCCCCCGCAATTTAACACTTCATACTAAAGTTAGTCCCTCTTTTACTTGTTTTGTTACCATGGTGATGCCAGGTATGATCGGCCCTATATCTTCTTTTTGTGTCATAGTTGAGCAGATCTAGTTTCTTCGTTTAGGAGTTTTATCCTCGCCTAGCTTTAGTAAATAAACGTTTCCTAACTGGATTATCCTGAAATAAATGTAATTTGAGCTGAGGTAAGAGTTCGATCATCTTTAATGTTGAATTTATGTATTTCGTGTGGTTCGGAATTAAAACTTCTCTTCCTCTTGATCGGTTACGTATTTTTGCGTTATTTGAGGTATTAGATCACACAAAACTGTCAAGTTTCGGAAATTGTTATAATTTCTCGTCTTTATAATTTCTTCCAATTCCACATGCAAGTCTTCAACTTTTAGCAAGCATGCTCCTTTATAAACTCTTCCAAGCATGCTCCTGCTCGTACGATTTGTTGTCTACAGTTTAGTTGCAGCCAGCATCCTCAGTTATACTTTAGTGTTTATTTCAAACTTCAGTTCGTTTTTTCTCAAAAATAAGATCAATTTTCTTTAAATACCAATAGAATTTTCATGAAATTAATGACCTGTAATAAAGGAACTGTCATATCAAGGAACTGTCATATCAGCCTCTATTGGCCCTGTATCGTCATAGTTACTAAAATTCTACGATGAGCCGACAATGGCGTTTCTCGTGTCGCTAATATAAATATATTGCGTGGCTAAAATAAAATTATGGATTTAGAGTGATGCACATTATGATCTCCTGCATGACTTCAACCACTTTTTGTCGTATGATTCAGACCCTCCCACCTTGTTCATAGTCCTATTATCTCAGGAGTCAAACTGTTGGATATTCCGTTTCATATTTGTTTTTAATCGCATCTTGTTCTTGTGAGCATTTTATCCTTTTATCAGTCAAAAAACTTACAATTTAAACTCATCAACCTACCGTCCACTAAACTTTTCGCCGCGCCTTTTATTTGTAAGTTTCTATACAACAATGATCAAAACTTTCACTGTTTTCTGAGCAATAAAATGGAACATTGAGCAGCAGTTACTCCCATATCGCGACGTCTCTGATAACAATAAACCAATCACATGATCAGTGATGTAGTCAGGTATGATTGGCCGATTTGAGACACGTGACTAAGCTAAGTTTCACTCTATCCGCTCTGTTGTTACTCAATTTGAGAATTTGAGCAGCGATCCTATGTCATGTTGTACAGAGCCTAAATGAAGTTTTTACACAATTTGTTGAGTGAGTCGAAATTTAAGAATTGAAGTACAATGTCTGTTCAATAATCGACGGAGTTATCTTTTTCTTATACTAAATTTTCTTACTTTTGTCGCTGTTTAGTTAGCATTATTTGTGAGATGAGCTCATTTCTCAACAGTAATCTGTGGGTTTAATTCAAAAGTCTGCTTTTGCTTTATGTGAATCAATTGTTTAACCATTCCGACATCAGTTAAATTACTTTGAAGTTTTAAAAAGTATTCATATTACTGAGGTTATGCATGACATAATTTACTGTGCAACGTATAAAAATAAAGCTGCAGACCCGATGGGCGCGCTGCAGAATCAGTGGCCTTTCCAGTCAATGGAGAATTTGCCAAACCTAGAGAACAGTCTTCCACGTTGTATAAGTTTCATTATCCGTTACCAACCGTTTTATTTTACCAACAGTCGTGTTTTTCAATGGTCATCTCTACTAAACTATAGTCACATGCTTGATTGAGAGATATTATTTTAGAGTTGTTAAACTTCAAACCTGTATTTTGCTTGAGATTATCTTTCGGTTTTAGTTTCCATTAAAACATTGGACTACCGTCAGCACGACATATGCTTAAATTAATGCCCCATTGAGCGTAAACTTAACTTAATATTTTCCTTTATATAGCACTATTGACAAGCATACTTAATAATCTTTCAATTATATTGAATAATTTAATATGTAAATTTTAACAACCTATTAATATTGACATTCTCCGTTTTCACAGTTTGGTCCGTCCAAATTTGCAATTTTCTTGTTTCCCTTTAGTAATACCTTTTCTGAGATTGTTTATTTGTGCTCTGTTGCTATTATATAGTTATATTTTAATTACTAACTTTATTAATGATTTTATCTAAAAAACAGATATCATTTCATTTCTGAGAACTTATTTATTAACAAATTTCCATTTAATACCATACAAGATAGATTAAAAGTATTACTTGTACTCGAAAGAATTTAGAATGCATACAATTCTCAATAATTCAATAATATCAGTGACCAAGAATTGGCAAGCATTAGTTCACAATATTGTAGCTGTGTGGCTCGTATCGTGCACTGCCTCACATTAGCTATAAAGAGGAAAGACACAGAAGAATATTTTTTTTGCTTTGTGGTGGTGGTTCTTTACGTTTCCAGTTAAATTAATACTGTGGTAGACAAACAATGAAGATGGACGTCACAAAATGAAGTTCAGTTTTTAAATTTTGAATCTTTTAAAACTTTTTTTGTTAAATGCTTTAAACCTTACCGTCGCGCTGTTATCAGAGCTTTTATTGTTTTTTCATCTGCACATTGTTGTACTTTACTCACCGTGCGAGGTGTTATATAGGTTAATGATATTTTAGTTATCAAGTCGTTTACTCTTCAGTAGGCTACATCGTTGACACTTAAAAGTTAAATGATGTTCGTTATTCTTATTTAGTTGCACTATTTTACCCAAGACTATAAACTTGGTTCTGTTGTGTTATAATTTTTTAACGTCACGTTAAAATTTACTGAAAGTCATTCTAAAGTTTGTTGCCGAAGTGTCCAGCTAACACGACGAGTAATAATTATTCATTATTATTTTGAAGAGGATGGTAAGGAACATACAGTATGGCTTCTGTAAAGAAGATAAAGGAATTTGTTACGAGTATTGGTATCCTTTTGAACCGATAAAAACGAGATGATACGTTGATGATGTATCCTTTTGAAGCTACAAAGCGTAAATGGAGCTTAAATCGCATTTGATTTTGCTCCTTATCGTATCTACAATTATTAAACTATTAAATAAAGCTCATAACATACTATGAATAAGATATAGAATATTATTATTTATACTATGATTACCTTCATCGAACACCCACCAACATCACCCAAACTTTAACAGATCTCCAAGGTAAAGTCAGCTTTTCTATTTACATTTCCTTTTTACATTGTATTATGTATTGAAATTACAATCACCTGTCTCAGAAAATGTATAGTATTGTATAGTTCATAGTTGGGATCTAACGATACCCTACAACAAGATTTTCAGCTCCAAATACATGCCAAACATTTCCTGAGATGAGGTTGAGATGACAATACTTGAGTAAAGTAAAAACAATTAATTGATTTGTATCCCCAGACCAATGCACGGCAGCCAGTAAAGGAATATTTCTAAGCGAAGGGAAGGGACTCAACATCACTTTTACACTTCCGGACTCAAATCTTGTCAACATCACCAAGTAAGATTATTCATCATAATTTAGGTATACATATCAAACACCTCATCTAATATAAATTCGAATTCTAATTCAGAACGAAGGTTCAAAGTATATTCATTTGAGAAATTATAATTCCAATTACAACCAGTCTCTATAATAATTTCCAGGGATGGTGTCCTGGTTGAAGGAGATCTGTTCACAGGAGTAAACAACGTATACTCCTTCATCAAGACCTCAGTAGAAGCTGGAGATGCTGGAGTCTATAAGATGAACCATGAGACTATTAAAGAACCTGCTAGTTGCTTCTCTGTTCTCATTGTGGCTGGTTAGTTTAATCAGGGTTCAAGAATATCAGAATATGCTGTAATTGTAATTTGTCTTCCCATTTAGATTAATAATTTCATGATAGCCAACTCGGTTAGATTTGCAAAGTTTGGCTTTCAAGGCAAATAGTGCAAAGGGTTTAGGGTCATATCTAAGCATATGTTTTTTTCAAATTTCCTTTAACCCATTAGGGACGACGAGTTTTAAAGTTTGCCGATTTTGATGCCGTTTAACACACTAGGTCACTTTACAGCAAAAATGAGATATCCAAAAAAGCTAATCTGTATCTCGTTTACTTTAAAAGATACAGCTATGGTCGCATACGACCCACTCGTCCGGGTCGCAAACGACCCATCACGGTTTTTCGGCTTTAACTTCTGAAACAAAGACGTTAGGATAAAATAAAATAAAAAGCATAAGTTAAAAACATATGGTCAATACTGTGTGACTCTAACTTTTTAAAAATAAAGAATTTGGGTCATTAACGACCCACTCGGCTCACTTGCTTATTACTACATATGTCCATGTAACTTCTTGAATTCAGCCTAAAGCATGACATCATAAGTTCAAAATCGCCTCTCAGCAAGTGATAATCATCATAAACTGCGAAAAATCGGTTAAATGGGTCATTAGCGACCCACTAAGACCACAAAATTGATTAATTAAATATAATGTTGTCAAACTTTTACAAATATTAGTATAAAAACATGTTATATCTTGGTCATTACTCCTGTACGTTGATTTAAATTTTAAAATCGATCAACTGGGTCAATAACGACCCACTCGGAAGTTGAACCACGACATTAATTATCAGTATCATGTTGTTCTACCATCAAGAAAGACACTCGTAGGTCTTAATTCCACGCAAACCACGGGTGGCTGACTACTAGCCCTTCTGAGATCTGGAGTCTCACGGTAATCTGCAGATCACGTCACCCAATGACTGACGAATAATGGGCAGAATTGGATTGATAGGTAGGTGAGTTTATCAGCTGTTAGTACACGACCGTAATGTCGTGAGACAGCAAACAACATGCCTATCTTTTCCCGATTCCTAGAACGTCCAAGAAGAACTATACAACTGCTGGATTCAGATTTCAGATGGCTGCATCTACTCTCTTCGCAGCTCCCTTTCTTTACTTCTTAGGGGCCGTTCATATATTACGTAATCACTTATTGGACAATTTTTACGCCCCCCCCCCCACCACATAGCTATTATGTCAAAATTACACAAGCTTAATCATTTGGAAACTCCCCTCCCTCTCGGCCGATTACGTAATACTTGTTTTCGTTTTGAAAGCTGCCTCGTTGTTGCGGGGTTTGTTACCCAAAACGAGGTAGTTGTCTGAGAGATTGCAGGTTGCAGCACCGCCAGCCAAATGGGGGGGGGGGGGGGGCTTTTTCCTTGTCCTTCTTCACAGAGCTGTAGATGTAGCCATCTGAATGCAGCAGTTGTTTAGTTATTCTCGTACTTTCTAGGAATGAAAAAAACATATTGGCATGTTGGATTAGAATATGCAATTTGACCACTCGTCTTTCAGTATTTACCCAAGGTTACATGATATCTCGTATACTTCGTTCAGGGGATTTTTCTTGAGTGACATGATCTGATCACCGTGGGACCCTGGGTCTCAAGCGGTGGGTTGTAGCAGGTCGTTTACCAAGATTCGAAATTGACGAAAAAGGTAACAGAATCTAATAAGCAACAACAACAGCATGGCTATTACCTAGCAAGTTAGGAACGAGGGCCGATTCCTTTTCTTTTGCGGCACGGCCACGGTCCTTTCGGTACAGATTTCCACGCACCATAGTATTATAGTCAGGACGCAACTCCAGGCATATGCAGTAGTGTTATTCTCGCAGCTCTTTGATGAGTGATGACGGCCCTTCAGTTGGCCCTGGATCTCAGAAGGGCTAGTAGTCAGCCACCCGTGGTTTGCGTGGAATTAAGACCTACGAGTGTCTTTCTTGATGGTGGAACAGCATGATACTGATAATAATTGATGAGGTGGTTCAACTTCCGAGTGGGTCGTTATTGACCCAGTTGATCGATTTTAAAAGTTAAATCAACGTACAGGAGTAATGACCAAGATATAACATGTTTTTATACTAATATTTGTAAAAGTTTGACAACATTATATTTAATTAATCAATTTTGTGGTCCTAGTGGGTCGCTAATGACCCATTTAACCGATTTTTCGCAGTTTATGATGATTATCACTTGCTGAGAGGCGATTTTGAACTTATGATGTCATGCTTTAGGCTGAATTCAAAAAGTTACATGGACATATGTAGTAATAAGCAAGTGAGCCGAGTGGGTCGTTAATGACCCAAATTCTTTATTTTTAAAAGGTTAGAGTTACACAGTATTGACCATATGTTTTTAACTTATGCTACAGTTTTTATTTTATCCTAACGTCTTTGTTTCAGAAGTTAAAGCCGAAAAACCGTGATGGGTCGTTTGCGACCCGGACGAGTGGGTCGTATGCGACCGCAGTTAGTAAACAGCGTCTAGCTCTGTTTGTGAACATCTGATTATCACGGGCTTTTCATATGTCTCAAGGAAATCGTTGCCCGCAACTATTTTGTCCTCAACAAAATAAGCCTACATAAAGTTTTAATGTCCCAATCAAGGCAAGAAGTAAAGTGAAATATTTTCCAATTATGACGACTAATTAGCCTAATTATTTAGTTGTTAGTAATTAATTGGGTCTCGACTGGAAAGTCAATAATGTAGCCCAATAAATTTTGAGCATATGTGCGAAAGATTCGTTGCGTTTAGTATTATGGTTTGTCCTCTATAGCCTCTAGAAAAGGTGGGTCGTAAACGACCCTATCGTCCCTAATGGGTTAACTCTCCAGATCTTACACTGTCATATTGCTACCAAACTAGATAATAACAATACTATTACAGTACCGACAAAAGTAGAAAAGATAAGGCTTACTGACAACATAGAAGGGAGTCTGAAATTCGGAAGTAACGAGTTCTCCAAGATAGTGGAACTGCTACCAGATCTTGAGAAAATGATGGAGTATTTACGTTATAGCATCTCCCAAGGGACCACAGGTCAGTTTTTGAATTTTTAAATACATGTAATTCACTTGTTCAAAATTATAAGTAATTAGAAATATTTATGATGAATTCTTGTACACTAATTTGTGTGTTTTGAAACTTGTACCACTACACGTCTGAACTCTGACGTCAATTTATTAATTTCAAAACAAGTTGTATTGCATTCTGTCGTCATAGGAAAACCGTTCACTGGTGCTGGGGTGTGCTCGCTATCTCATTATGTGGCTTGTATAGCATACTACATAGGCACGTTAAACATTTGATTGATGCTCAAATGTAGTCTGTGCGCTTGTTATATATAATATATCATGCGATTTAGAATTTTCTGTCGCAATGTGAGGCTTTATAGAGGTTAATAATCTTGGTGGTGACATACATGATACTATGAAAACTCCTATTTTTGGAAATTGGACGCCTTTACCAAATATTTAGTTTCCACTTTTCTTGTTTTCAGACTACGGTGAGCAAGATCCCACGGTTACGAACTTCACAGAGAATGATGGTTTTGAGATCAGAGGAAAATCTTACACCTTGAACCCTGATAAAGTTGATCTCATTTATGATTCTTCTGGCTCTGAGATAAAAGAATTCGACGTCAGCTTTAAGATTACCGTTTCAAGTGAGTTAAAAAGATCTTGTTTATGAATAAAGAGCTGTTAGACACAGTATATAATTAGATTTATACTATGTTTAGCTTATTCTTTACTTGAATTTAAAAGAAACATTTCAGTTGACCGTTCTCTCTTTTGTTTATTTATTTTTTCATTTTTTTAAATATTTATATTTCAGCTGAATGTTCTCCACAAAAAACACGTTGTAATGGTGAACCTGAATGCGATGACTTTTCTGATGAGAAAGGATGTTCTACCAGAGGAGGTTTGACTCTTTTATTTTCTTTTATTTTGTGATTAGTTATATTTTAACCGTTTAACTGTCATTGGAGATGTTTGAAAGTTTAAAATGGTATTTGTTTAGTTAACTCCCCGACGTTATTAACAATTTTTTCTCACAATTTTGCTCACAATTATATTTTCAGCATATTCAAAGATGGCTTTGAGACCAGAAATACAAGCAATTAAGTTTCCCTCTCCGCTCGAGGACCATACAGTTTGTTTTTTTACTTTCGGCCAGATAGGAATGTCTGCCTCAATGAAAAACGATGTAAGCCAAGGATTGGAGATTAACAAGAAAGGACATTATTGTGTAGTCGTTCAGAATTTGAAAGTCACGGTAAGTTATGTTTAGGTTGTCTCTTGATTCGGTTTTTAGACGGATCTGGTTCTCCTATTTTTTTACTTTTAAGATTTGGTTTATGTTGCTATCAAGAATAATAAATTGTTTTTCTGACAATTGTTCGTTAATGTGTTCCCCTAAGGACAGTTCACTACGACTTTTTAATGTTCTGAAATGACATGAAACTCGTTCATTTCTAGACGTATATCTACGGTTCTACATTCGTGAAGGACGGATCAGATGTCGATGTTGATACAAGCGTACAGGAATGGATCATGAACGAAGGGAACAACATTAAAAACATTATAGTCTACAATAAGGTAAACTATAAGTACAGCAAGTTTTCGTCTTGTGTAATGATAGGAAATTAATTGAAATAGAAAGAAGTTTCTCTATTCAGTAAATACTGAAAAAAACAGGAAGTTACTAAAAAAGTAAAAACCAATAAAATGTATACAGAAACTAATAATTATTGATAAATTGGAGAAATAAATCTTTGAAAATATTATCATGCAACTTAGATATACGCTATAATTTACAACATATTCTATATAGCTATATAATATATATATATAGCTATATAGCATTATCACTATATGCACTATATACACTATATTATGTACTATATCTCTACATGCACTATATGCACTATATGCACTATATGCACTATACAACTAATTATGAAACTTTTCAGGTATTGACAGCTACAGAGATGGTTCAGTACATTACCATGTGTGGTCAGGAAGGCTACCCAGCTGCAGCAGACCTGTTCATGGACCATCACTTTCTCGTTACCTTCCTTAAAGCAATGAGTAGTGGCGAGCAAATGAGTTATGTGGTTCTATCTTCAATGTGTGCAGGTAATTATCAGCTTCCTGTTTTTTTGTTCAGTTAAACAACAATTTCAATTTGCCCACAAACAGGCAACAACTGAGTATTAGAATATATTAATAAATCTTCATCGCATCAGAAGTGCAAAATTTCGTCAGCACCTTAAATTATTTGCTAAACAATATTGTTAAAGAATCAAAGCTCTGTTAGGCTGTATAGTCACACCCCAAATTCCCCAGAGACAGCAACCCCCACCGGTAAAGTAGACCTTGTGACCACATACTTGTGTGACAGTGGAAAAACAATCACCAACCACTGTGAGAGTGAGAGTGACAGTTACTGTGACGACAGTAACCAAGAGGAAGAGTGTCAATATTTTAAATCAGGTGAGCTAACCTACCAACAAGAACTTTGAAATTTTCTTTTGTTATAATTTTCTGATGCCTAGGTTACCTAGATAATTGCGATATCGGTGAAAATTCGTATATGTTTTCAGAGTTTCTGCAATATCAACTTCGACATAATTGTAACTTCTGAAAACACTTAACACTGATGTATGCTTCCCCCTCTTATAAATAACACTACTTTCCCTTCAGAGACAGTGGCGTTGGCTAGAAATACTAATGGTGATACACAATGCACCAGATCTACTATAGTAAACGAATATAATAATCGTCTGGGTGTCCAAGCTATATCCTCAGCAAATGCATTCATTCAAGAGTAAGAGGCGCTATACAGTAGCTCAAAAGAACTCTTTTGTTTTTGATCTTACACTATAATTCCTAGATCTTAAAATGATATTTCAGCGGACATTTGTTTAAAACTTTAACCCATTAAATCACTCAGTTGCACGACGTCCACTTGTACGACCAAAGCTTATCTTGAAGATCTAATGGCTGAAACTGATAATGTTTGGGCAAATGAAGATAAGATGACCTACACGAACTGGACAGCAGCTATCAATACTGCGGAGGGTAACCGACCAGTCCACCTTAACAGAGATGGCAGTTGGGAGGTGGAGGAGGATACACTATCTGACAAGGGAACATTGCTCTGTGATGTTGGTGAATCTAACAGTGGTCGTAAGTCTTTATTGTCAAGTATCTATCAGCTGTTGACCAAGCTTTCAGTTTATTTGAAATTCCGGGGTTTCTTTCATATGATGAATATAGTTAATAGCTGTTGGCTATAAATGTTCCTGTAGCACTTGATACTTTGATAACAGTTCATCACTGACAGTTTCCAGTTGACCATCCCGGTATACACAGCTGTGAATTGTGGAGCAGGGGCCATTATTTTATGTTTTTTTTCATTGATTCACTGAACCGATTAAAGTCTTCAATCTTTCAATCACTTAATTGCAGGCGCACAAAAGGCGTTGAAGTTAGGACTCGACTCTGGATACTCGCAGTTAAAAATAGAAAAAACGTCAGTATTAAACAAGCTCACTATGTGCTGGGCCGCCTCTGGAAGTGGAGTTTTACTTCAGTATAGTGGTCTTTCCTCTATATCTGGACAAGACATTTACATAGCAACCGGTAAGATTTATCAAGGAAAACAATTTTTTTTGCATATCTGTAACTAAATATTTCAAAAAGTTGTATATCTATATAGCTACTTGTCTATGTTACTGAAGGAAGTTGGGCCAAACTTTAAAGAGGAACTGCGAACCCTGATGCGGGACAGGGATATATGGAGGGGGTTATCTGGCGTAGATCGGACTTAGTCCCGACATAGTCACATAGTAGTAGTAGTAGTAGTAGTCTATATCTATGAGATAAAGTATGTTGACAGCACTTACCCTCAGAAACGATCAACTTGCGCATCTATCTGACTGTCTACATAGCTGGGTTTCCTGAGTACTTTGACCTGGACGCTACTAAAATTGGAACCTACTTCTGTCTTAGATGGGAGAAAATAACAGGAAGGATAGATCTAGCTGTTAATGGGAAACTGATTGTCGGCAAAAACACCTGTGAGTATTTCATTGATTAGCAACATGAATACTTGGTTATTGGTCAATACCCTTCAAAAGTATTTATTTACATTTTTATATAATGACTATGTAAGAAGAAAAGGTAAATACATATTAGCAATCGTAATTTCAGATGCAAGCAGCAGGAAAATCAACCTGCCCACCTCCGGTATAATGGTTGTTGGGGCTGGGATAAAAACCAAACCGGCCTTCTTAGTGGACACAGAACGTCGCTGGTCTGGTCAGATCAATAACTTGGTTATTTGGAATAGGTTTTTCAACCCGCTCATGCTACAAAAGACTTCTGAGAGGATGATATGTGATAGTGTCAGCAAGGCTGAGGCTTGGTTAACGTTTGAAGAGATTATTGCTGGATCCATTAATCATGTGATGTATTCCAGTTTCGTGGAAACTGCGGAAACGTGTGGTGATCAGGTCTGTTTGAAACGTTTTTGTTAAAGATAAACCATTTTAGGGATAATGCTAATAGCCGAAAAAAATGAGCTATGTTAATTATAAAAAACAGACCCTCATTTCAAATGGATAAGCTGATAAGTGAAGTTTGAATTAAGGTAGTCGAATTCAAATTCCTGTTTAAGATTATAGCCATTTTGCTTTGAATATTGATGTCTTTGTAAATTTCTCGATGCACAAGCCAAAAAGGGGTTTACATTAAATCATCCAGGGCCCTCAAAGACGTAAGCGGCAAGATGAAGAAGGAAGCTTGAGTGAAGAAGATTCCGTAATTGAAGTCTCCAAAAACAGTATCCGAATAAACTACTCCCTCTACTACGTCGAACCGGGCTCAATTTCAAAATGGGCGACCTCAACTGAGGATGGAGTGACTGTTAATATTGAAAGGAAGGATATGACTTATTCTGTTAGACGGCTCAATGAAAGAGGTAGGTGCAGGAAGATGTCTTATACATCTCTTGTTCTGCTCTAATATGTAAATACATAAAATAGGAAACCTGATAAAATTAAAACGAATCACATCTGGTAAACCAACAGCAAATATTTTATATTGTTCTGATTACTGGTCGCCTCCTGGCATTCTGCTTTTAGTGATGAATATATATATACTGATGGAAATTAAAAGTAAAGTTGATTATATCATTATAAATCAGAAACTTAACAATAAAAATGTATCCATCATCTCAGGAAACATCAAACTGCACCCCCTATCTACGCTGTGCTTCTCTGGTAGATCCTTAAAAGACGACACCGCTTACAATGTGGACGTTTCTGCTCACAGCACTGGTCTGACAACGCTACAAGTGGGACAGCAAACCCTCTCCGTGAGTAGCACTGTAACACTGTAATACTGTAATACTGTAATACTGTAATACTGTAACACTGTAACACTGTAACACTGTAACACTGTAACACTGTAGCACTGTAACACTGTAATACTGTAATACTGTAATACTGTAACACTGTAACACTGTAACACTGTAATACTGTAACACTCTGTGTGAGTAGCACCCTCTCCGTGAGTAACGGTTATTATAAAACTTCAAATCTATTACATCTATTGAGGAGTCCTAACTCTCTGAGGAGTCCTAAGATGGCATTTTTCTTGTCTCATATAATATTATGATGTATAAAACTTCAGAAAACTTTCCATGTTATGATTTAACAACTGTAATTTTATAATTGATCGATGTGTTCTATTCCAAGTTATAGTTGTAATGATAACTCTAAAACAGCTTACAACGTATCTTACCACATTTATAAAATTTGCTCGAACTAATGGTTGATCACTTGCCAGGTTAGCTCAGGAACTCCAGGGAAATCAACAGCAGAAAACGTGTTTCCAGTAGGAAATAAGATCTGTATCACAAATGTTTTATCTCCCTCCGACTATGCTCCTTTAGATGGTACGTAAAAACTATGTTAATCAAACTATGTTGATTACATAAATTATATCAATTAACTATGCGAATTAAAGTTTACTTAAAATTGAAAAATTGTTTAATAATTCAAATCTAAACTACGGAATGAATCGATGGAAATATGATATAAGGTGATTATAACCGTTAATTATATGAAGAGGACTTAAGATTACCACCCAAATTCAGGTTATATTGAAAGTATAACCTACTGGACACCTGACGATGCGACTACAATATCGTGTCCCAGTGAGAATGAGCTATTAGAGGATAAGGGTGCCCTTGTCTGGCCTGCTACTTTACAAACTGGTGTTGTGTCTACCACTTGTAAGTTGTTTTAAGTGTTTTAACAGGTCATGTATATTGTATAGCTGTATAGTGTATAGTAAGACAATGGTAAATGGTGGGTGTAGTAAGACATGGTGGTATTCTTCAAACGCTCTTTGTTGAGCCAGCTTAATGAATTTAGTTTTTATAAAATGGTTTTTGGGATAACGGAAGTCTTCTTATTATTTTAATTATTTTTTATTTCTAAGCGCTGTACGTTATCTCTGAAGGCGTATAACTGCTTCTAGATGGTCACCATTGTATTTTATTTACAGGCCAATATGGGAACGCAGCTGACTACAAAAAGATCGGTCTTGCAACACGAACATGTGAACCAAATGGATGGTCTAGTGAGCGTGACACCTCAGCCTGTGCTGTTAAGTACACCATCAGTTCAGCGGAAGCAAAGGAGTATTTTAACGATATCACTGATATCACCGAGGAAAACGTTGACGAGTTCACTAATACTATCAACCAGGTCAGTAATAAAGATTTGATGTTTCGTAGGTTGTGGCGGAATTTCCTTTCTGAGCTGCCAGCTGGTAAATACTATTCACAGATTTGGATGGATATGAATGACTCAAGTTTATCAGAAGTCAAAGACTGTTGATAATAAACTTGTTCATCGCATGTCAATTCTGTTTGGGCAATTGATTAATGTAATAATAATATTATGTTGTTGATGGAACAATGTTTTGGGTAATTTGTTTGTGTAGCGATGATATTTTGTTATTAACGAAAGCTTACTACAGGTGGTACAAGAGAAAGAGGAAGTGTCTTTGGATACGATGATAATAGCTTCTGATGCCTTAGAACAACTTTCAGCATCATCCGACGTGAAGATTAGTGATGCTACCATGACAACTGTTGTTGAAGTTGCAAACACTATTAACTTGAATAGTGAAGGAGAGAAATCAAAGGATAAGGCAGAAGAAGCAAAAACTGCAGCCAAGTAAGTTTCTGATCTCTGGAACGAATTATTTGTAATTGCTGAGCTCCCAAATACAGTTAACTTATAAGTAACTAGTTAATATGACCCTAAGAATGATGCCTTTTCAATTAAGAAATCTTAACATTTATCGGATGATCAATATTTCCACAAAACGATTGCTTTCCAGCCTAATAACAGGTATGACTTACCTACATTTTTATTCACCCATTAATTTTATTACATCATTTAAATCATAACTTTAGAGTTAACATTTGAAAGTTGTGATAGTTAGATCAAAAGATTCGTCTGTACTAAACCGTGCTAGAACATACTACACCAGGATTGTAGAGTCAGTAGCAAATCTAGCAGCAAAGGTAGAACTACCAGAGAACGTGAAGTTTGTTTCCAAGACCAAGTCAGTGAGTGTGGCTGCGTTTAAACCTCCTGCAGTTTCGTCAAGTAGTGAAGGGGCGGAGGGATCTGGAGATATAACCGCTAGTTTTCAAGATGATGGTGAGACTTTCTTATTAATGCTTTACATACAAAGTTACAACGAATTCTTCATGTTATGTGTCCTGGGTTTGGACAGGATATGACGTTATATTACATAATTCTCAATAAATGTAATAGATTTGTAGTGTTATAATTAGTTTTTTTCAGATGTAATTTTTTCAAATGACTTTTTTTCATGCCGCAATTCTGACGATTTTTGCTTGAAAATATAGTATGAAAAATATATCACTATATTGCGGAATTTTTACTCCAACAAAGGTAACATAAAATCTTTCAGCAATAATCTTTGCAAGGGTCATTAAAATTAACTAATATTCCCCTAGTCGACGGAACTAATATCGACATCTCAACGGGTGACAATGAGAATGAGAAAACTCCAAGGAGTGTGATAAAAATCAAAAGGGATCAAGTTGGAAATGGTAAAAATGTCTGGTTCACCAGCTACCAAAAGAGCAGCACTCTGTTTGTCTCGGACACGAACTTTGATCTTGATGGTCAGATTATTGGTGCAGGTACAGAATTATTATTCACTTTTGTGTTACTTTGAGATGCTAATCGTTTAAGGGTTAAGGTACCAAATGATATATATACTAGCTTCTTAGGTAATTCATTTGTAGTGTCCATGGATGGGTAGGTGCCCGCAATATCACAAAAATATGAAATCGTCAGATATTGGCTATTTACTCTCTTAGTCTTATGTTAAACTTCCAAACAACTGAAAAAATAACATATTTAAAGGTATCGGAGAAGAGAGTACAAAGTTTGAAAAAGGTAAAGGAGTTCTTATGACATTTTATACGAATGAAGACCGAGAAAATACTAACGCACTTTGTCAGTATTGGGACATGAAAGATGGAGTCGGCAGTAAGTGGAAATATTCTTGAAAATATATATTTTTTTAAAACTTTACCCCAGCACTCTCGGTATCTCTGGGATCCCTACCATAAATAATTTGTAGGTACGTGAAAATAGATTTCGTGAAATTAAGATCCTTAAAAGCCATTTCCACGTTAGATGTTTAACTTTTTGATAACTCAGGTTGGAGCTCGGAGGGGATGACATTTGTAAACAAGACAGACACAACTATTATGTGCGAGGCATCCCATCTCACCAACTTTGCTATCCTCATCAATCCTAGCAATACATATGTAAGTTTTATTTGTTCAATAACTTTTGCAATTAAAGAAAGTGGAATTAAAAATGATTCATTTTTCTTAATAAAGCATCAAGGAGAATAACCCACTTTATACTTTCCAATCGAGTGGTTTCGATTCAGCTCTTCAACAATAATTTATAATTTTCTAATAGTAGCTTTCTATTCTCACAAAGCATCATCCCATCAGTTCACTGGTGCACAAGAGCTCACACTACAGATAATAACAATAGGAGGATGTATTCTATCTATAATCGGTCTACTAGCCACTATCATAGGACTTGCTGTTTTTAAGTAAGTACTAGACACGAGTCTTCTTTTTAATTTACAATTTTTTTAATAAATAAATTAGATTTTCGGGCCTTGATTATCATTATGATAAGTAAATAAGACTCTAACTAAGTTAGAGTCTAACCCCCTAAAACTCTAACTAAGTTAGAGTCTAACCCCCTATCTCAACATTATGATTAGTAAGTAAAACTCTAACTAAGTTAGAGTCTAACCCCCTATCTCAACATTATGATTAGTAAATACAACTCTAACTAAGTTAGAGTCTAACCCCCTATCTCAACAGACAGATAAGATCAGTGTTGACCAACAGAGTACACATAGGACTGTCTGTATCTCTCCTCCTTGCTTATATCTTCCTGCTTATTGGACCTGATCTTGTTGCAGATGAGGGTATGTGCTATGTTTTTAGATATAATACAATAGTGTTTAATACTGAGCAACTTTCAACCACTAGTGAGGTTTGCTTGTTTTGATATTCATTATTCATTGATCAATAGCTAAGTATGATTGCATTGACGGTGACCTAGATAAATCGGCGAAGTAGATAAAGCCGATAAACGCATGCATGCTTAACACCAATATTGGTCACCATAAGATAATTTCACAAATAAACAAAGAAATTAGCAGACAACCCATCCCAGAGGCACATATTAGGTGCGGTAAAAAAATCGAAATTATGCGGTACCGCACCCGACTATAAAGGTAAAATGTGCGGTAAGGTGCGGTAAATTTTTACCAATTATGCGGCAAATGTGCGGCGATTTTTTCGAAATTTGTGCGGGAATTGTGCGGTTTTCTTTTGTATTTTCTCAAGGACTTTGGAAATTCTAAACGTATAACCGCCGCTCTTATCAAAAATAGGTATGTTTATGTGTTACTGAGGGTGTAGTTCTTTACTAAGACCATGGTTGAACCTATATTGAGATTCAGTTATCTGAGAACAGTGACTTGATCTGGTAGAGATCAGGATACAGTTATTTGAAGACGCCTCTTGATAGAGTCGATCAGATCCCATGCGTGATCGCAAATATGTGACACGCTTGTTGGCATTGATCAGGTATCTTATGTTTCTTGTGTGGTGAGCTTGATGATGGGTCACTGTCTGTAGCTTTTCGTTTCTTTAGGAAACGGTGCATGACGTTGTGATGTGATATAGAGTAATCAGATGATGTGGTTAAGTTACGAATGATAACTGATACACTATAATCGAAGTACGGTAACGACGAGGGTTCCATAACGGCCTGGGTCACGGTCCCGAAAGTGACTGGGTAACGGTCCCGAAAGGGCCTGGGTCACGGTCCCGAAAGGGCCTCGGTCACTTGGCCTAAGCATGACTTCCAAAAGGGCCTGGGTCAGGGTACCGAAAGGGCCTGGGTAACGGTCCCGAAAGGGCCTGGGTCACGGTCCCGAAAGGGCCTCGGTCACGTGGCCTAAGCATGAGTTCCAAAAGGGCCTGGGTCAGGGTACCGAAAGGGCCTGGGTAACGGTCCCGAAAGGGCCTGGGTTACGGTCCCGAAAGGGCCTCGGTCACGTGGCCTAAGCATGAGTTCCAAAAGGGCCTGGGTCACGGTCCCGAAAGGGCCTGGGTCAGGGTCCCGAAAGGGCCTGAATCACGTGGTAACTGGGTCACGTGGCCTAGGTATGAGTTCCAAAAGGGCCTGGGTCACGGTCCCGAAAGGGCCTGGGTCAGGGTCCCGAAAGGGCCTGGGTCAGGGTCCCGAAAGGGCCTGGGTCAGGGTCCCGAAAGGGCCTGGGTCACGGTCCTATAAAAGGGCCCGACTTTTAACATATTTTGGTTTTTACACTCAAAAATCTTAACGCGAAAATTTCGAAATTACGCGAAATTACGCGGAAAATGCTAGATTATGCGGAAATATGCAGATAATTACAAAATGTACGGAAATGTGCGGAAAACAATGAATTATGCGGAAGTGTGCGGAAAACGGTAAATTGTGCGATCCCGCACCCATCGCACCTAATATGTGCCCATGACCCATCCTTATCTCAATATCACTAGTGTCTTATCTCAATATCACTAGTCTCAACAATCTCGCAGGTGTTTGCTACTTCTTCTCGATCCTGGTGCACTTCTGCTTCCTGTCAGCGTTCTGCTGGATGCTGTGTGAAGCTATCAACCTGTATCTACGACTTGTTGTTGTCTTCGATAGCTACTCTAAGATGTTCCTCAAGTTCTCCGTCTTCTCATTTGGTATGTTTCCGTGTTTTCATCAGGGAACGACTAACGAGGGTATTTTCTCTGTTTTATCTTTTTGGTCACCAAACAAAGAGTGAATATCACAATAACAATAAAATAATTCCCGCATTCAGACGATTGGGAATTGAAAAGTTTTTCAAAGTTATTCATCATGTCATCTGCAGTGGTGAAATATTTTCATGCATCATCAGGACTTAATTAAAAATTATATAGGCTGATATCTGGATAATTTAAATATATTTGATTTTTCAGTTACCCCTCTTACTATTGTTCTGATAACGGTGATAGTCGAGTTTGCGGGTAATAATGGAGCATACATAGTGGAAAATCCAGCCAGTGGAGTTCGAGTAGTGTAAGCTTTTTAAAGTTATTCATATTATCATATTCATATTATCATAAAGTTATTCATGAGTATTGCTGAAAGCACAATGTAAGGCCTACACGGACCGCCTCTAACTAGCCAATCCCTGTTTACATGCCGTGTAGCAGGGGACTAGAAAGAGCTAAACTAGTAAGCGGGGCATAGCCAATACACTATACTCCCATCATTGAGTATATTACCAACCAAAAGGAAAATTTCCTTGTGTTTGGAATCTACCAAGACGAAAGTTGTACAATCCAGCGAAATTCCGAAGAATCATTCCAGTAGATGTTCATGTTATTGGCATGTCAAATAAATATTGTGATTGTACTGTATAAAGATATTCATATAATAAACCTTGATTTGATTGAACCTCTTATTTAAGCTTTCAAAAGCATACGTCCAGGGTTCAGTCCAATTCTGCTGAAGTTAAAACTGTACGAAAATCCAGAAATATAGAATTAAAATGCTATCTTGATAAAATAACTTCCAAACTTAACTTCTTCAAGAGTCACCTGACACCAACAGTACTTTTACTAATATTACAACTTTACAATCAGTTCCAAATGATATATATCTCAGTAACAGTAAACAATCGTAGGTGTTGGTTGGATTACCAAGCGAGGATGGCTGCATTTATGCTACCCCTCCTCCTCATCCTCTGTGCTAATTTCGTGGTCTTTATCCTGGTTATGAGAGTCCTGTTTGCTAGCAAAAAGAGTGCTACCGCCATCAACAAGTATTATTCATTATTTTAAATAGAAAAAATTTGATCATGATATCATGTTATCATTTGAAAGCATCAAAGATATCAAGATGACACATTAAATTAACAATACTATTGTTATGAAGTGGCCGCGTCACTCGCTTCGTGTCTCCTTAACCAAACAACCTGCAAACAAATCAATACAACCTCAGAACCCAGTGGTTGGCCAGGCTCAGATCCGCTGTTGCTGTGTCAACCCTCATTGGGTTGTCGTGGATACTAGGATTCTTCGCTCTGGGAGAGGCTAGCTTCGCTATCAACATTATCTTTGCTCTGTGTAACAGTTTACAGGTTAGACATTTCTCTTTTTTTAATTATTTTTTCGATGCAATTTTATTAGGCCTTATTATATCATCCGTCTTTAATTCTGGTAATATTGATAGAATATGCAAGTTTAATTTTAATTCATACTGTTCTTGCAAAAACAAAACCTTATGCTTTCTTTATAGAAGCTCCTTTAGCTTTGGCCGGAAATCTCTACTTTTATATTTCCAGGGAGTCCTCATATGTTATTTATACTGCTTTGCAAAGAACGACGTGATGACAAAATGGCGGTCTACTATTCAGACTAGCTTTGGTAAATCAAGTAAAGGTAAGTTTACCATCATTAGAATTGTTTAGTACATATTAGTAATTATCATGGCTTTCTATTCAGCATTAATACACATTAGTTATCATTGTGATTGTGAAATATTTTGTCTCTTTCCAGATCGATCTCCTGACAACATAATATCACTCACACAAGATTAATACTTACTCTAAAAGTATTCATGTTTAATATTGAACAACGAATCTGTTCGTGTTTTTCCAACCGTATCATGCGCCACATTGTTCACCTGTAACCGAGTAATCAGTGACCAGTAACTCTCTCAACAATGAGATTTGCTGGGTTTACTGAGGCCTCATGAGACTTGCAACCGTGTTACCATGACCCGTGTAATCATGGGATCCACAGAGACTGAATCAGTTAAAATCGTTAATATTGGCTCCTGTAACTCACTAATTCTGTAACCGGCAATAATGCGAGAATAGTCAACTTGGTTATACTTCTTTCTAATTAAAGTGTAATAATAGTAAATGAAATGTCAATTTGTATAATTACAAGCCAATCCTAGGAACGTAAGAGGCTTTGTAAACTCAACCGATGTGACAATTATAATTATATTTTGTAAACTATTTATATACTAATAAAAAAGTTTACATTTTTAAAAGTCATACTGATTACCTTTCAGACGCAAGCGGATTTTCAACCTCTCACTCAGGAGCCCCCAGACCCCAGAACAGGTAACTATGATAAAACATTCCTGAGGGATAGAGGTGGTATTTGAGAGTGAGAACTTGTAGTGCTAGTTTTAAAACAGAAATGTGGTTCGGATAAAAAACACATTTATATTGTCAACTCTACATTTCCTAAATCTCGAAACCTACCAATTGCATGATCCTTAAAACTTGCATACTAACTAATCATTCTTTATAACGTCCATCATGGGTTTAACACTTTAAACCTGTTGTCTCCACTGCAGCTGTCGCCAATATATATAAGGGATAAATAGCGATTAGTATACAATAATGATAATACATTACTCAGGTTCAACACCGGTGCTAACACGAGCAAGACCACGTCTCTCGCACTCTCAAGCTCCAACACTACCAGTGTGACTGTTCCAAACACTGAGAAGAACGGCACGGGCAAATTCGCTAATGTTTACTCCAATGTGAGTATACTCGTATATGCAGTGGTTATAAATGCTAGTGATAGTGACAAAAAATGAGTTGATTGTTATTTAACCGTTCGCCATGGCATGTCGAATGTGCATCGTGCATGTTAATTTTTGAAAGAACGAAAATATTACGTTCCGTCACATTAAGGCTGATGTTTTTGAACGGTATTAATGTATTATTCATGCTTGTGACATGCTCTTTTAATTTTGCACGGAAGCATTGAATGTTCAGATTTAACATCCCTAGACACTTAGTAGCCAGAGATTAAACCTAAACTAAAGCAAAACTGTATAATATAAAACATTTTTTAACAATGAAACAACCTTTACCCGACTTATACAGCACAATCGACGATGTGGCCCTCAAGTTTTAATGTGCAAAGGCTGGCCATATAATCATTCGCCTCCCCGACTTAGTTATCTGGTATTGCGATTGTTTGAGATCGTTTATAGGTGTGGACATATATTTAGGACTCCGGGGTCAAGGGTGGGTGCCTGAATTTGGGGCGCATAGTCGTGGTAGGGTGTAGTATAAATAAAGATTTGAAAACCTTTTTCGATGTGCAGGTAGATGATAATTCCCATGTCTACAAACGCTTGCCTGGAAATGAGGCATCAAGGTTCGGATGTGAAAATATCGATCAATGAATTCTGTTCTTTTAAATGTTGCAAATGATTTTGGTGACAATTTTATGACTGATTTTCCTGACTGAATTCAGTAGGCGCTTAAGGCTTTTTAAGTTTTTAAACCAAAAACAATCGTTTCTATTACCAAGTATTTGCAACATGTTTGATTGTCCGCTGGGCGCTGATCACTTGATGTTTGTTATCTAATCATTAACGATTTTCATATGACTTTATATTCTGAAGTGCTTTACATCCTTTCCTTTCCTTTCCTTTCCTTTCCTTTCCTTTCCTTTCCTTTCCTTTCCTTTCCTTTCCTTTCCTTTCCTTTCCTTTCCTTTCCTTTCCTTTCCTTTCCTTTCCTTTCCTTTCCTTTCCTTTCCTTTCCTTTCCTTTCCTTTCCTTTCCTTTCCTTTCCTTTCCTTTCCTTTCCTTTCCTTTCCTTTCCTTTCCTTTCCTTTCCTTTCCTTTCCTTTCCTTTCCTTTCCTTTCCTTTCCTTTCCTTTCCTTTCCTAACCAATTGGTCATTTTTTAATCACAATTTCTTTCATCCCTGAAGTATTTTTGTTGATATATCATATACTGTCTTCAGAAATATTTGTAAGCATGATAAATGGCTTTCAAATATTTCCAATTTAAGCTGCATGAATTATATCAATATGTAACAATGTGGCAATTTAGTCCATATTATCAAGTTACTATTTAAAACTTAATAATTAAAACTGCTGATATTGTTTCTGTTGCTTGCATCAAACTAACAAGTGATCAGATATAACCCAGGAGGTATCAATCTCCCTGAACGAGGTGAAGGAGAAAGAGCCCCACTACCACCAAGAAGATCCAGTCTACTCTGACATCCCCCAATCTGACCACGAGGTTGAAGATGACCACATCTACGAAGACTTTGTACCTGACACACGCCCCGTCTTGCGGAGGAGAGATGAGCAGCCCACACCTGAAGAGGAGGAAAAGAGGAAGACCATCACCCTGTCCAGGAACCTGCAGGGACAGCTGGTCAGGGAGAAGGTTCAAACATTTGAGGGGATTATCCAAGGAGCTGAGGTGGTGGTGACATGTCCAGCAGATAACCAGAGTGGTGGTAAGACATGTCCTGATCAGGGTGATCCTAGTGCCTCGTTTCAGATTAAATCTGGTAGTGGCGCTTCTGGGGACAGCAAATCTCCTTTTGATTTGTGAGAGTTGGACTCCTGGTGGGATGTGAGAGTTTATCTAATTAATCTAATTAATTAGTTAATTAGTTAATCTAATGATGATGGTTTATCCCTCTTTGATTTGTGAGAATGACTCTGATTAGTTCAGTTTAAAAACCTTTCATTCACCTGAGACGATACACAATTGTATTTGTCAGTTTACGTTTATAGATTTAGAATATTTTGATCACAAACAAGAAATACTGAGACACAAACAGCGTTCAATATTTAGTTGGTTATGAAGATATTTTAACCTTAACCATTTATAATGATGTATGATTATTTGGTAATACTAAAATACTAATAATTTAAAATTATAATTCAAATTATTGGATGTGACAATGAAAAAATTTAAATATTTTTTGTTGAACCTTACGTAAGTTTTAGCGGTGTCGTCAGTCTGTTAAAATATTTCCATTCTACACTAAATGATTTTAGTTTCTTTTATTATAATATCATCAATGAAAATAACGCCCTCATTAAATTTTCCTTTGAATCAAATAAGTATCTAAAATGTTAGATTCGATTTAATATTTATGTTTTATATTTTACATAACTGAAAGTAGAAATTGTAGATGTCATTCAGATGATAGATACTTCGACAATTATGGATTTAGATTACATTAATTAGTTTCTGTGTTTTGAGTATTTGCAGTTTGGACTTACTTTTCATGAAATAGTTTTTAACTTTCTTTTCCAATCGTGATTCCAATGTGTTTTCTTTTAGCGTCCTAAATCACTCAACAAGTAAAGCCACACCAATTGCAACAGTAAAGCCACACACTAATTGCATCAGTAGGCTAATGTCCTAAAGACTCATGAGCAACATAGCATTTGTCACAAGATGCAAAATGACTCACTTTGTGTCCAGAAACACCTAAAAAATGGCCTACCACTGACCGACAGCTACGCCCGTTTTCCACACCTTAACAGGCCATTAACAAGTTTCCAATCAGTAACGTGATCTGATTCGCCATGTCAGATTCTCAAAACGACAGTTGCACCCAAGCGCAGGTTAAGTTTGACTCCCAAAGTCGCACTTAAATATCTAAGTGTGAACTAAATCATGCAACATAGGTAAAAATGTGTACTCAATTCATTTTTAAAACACCATAAACTGTTCGTGGAAGACACCCACTACCCAAGATGCTACGTCTAAGCTCTGGCATAAAGCCACAGACCCTCCTGCAACTTGTGGGATTAACATTCGGTTGGGAGGAAGTAAAATTACAAATTAAATAAATGCGCAAAATCCAAAAATAAAGTTCGGACGAATACTATATTACAGTCCGCTCTGAAGAATGCATATATTCACTATTTCATCGCACATTATCCTCGATAACTCAATTTTTGCTAGGGTAAAGATAACAATGAACGATCCCGTCCTATCTGTACCATTCTTCGTAGCTTTGCGTCTATCGTTATGATCGTACGGTTTTTGATTAAATAAAGATTACTTTTATTATAATTGGAGGATTTCAATATCGATTGGGCGCAACTGTCGTATTTGATCAAGCAGTTTTTTAATTGGTTTTGATTCGTCATCTTTCCATGGTAGCTAGATCTAGATTGGGCGCAACTGTCTGGCAGCCAAATTAGTCTTATGCCAAGTAATCTTAATCTGAGGTTCTAGAATTACAGTTCTAATGTTCTAGTATTAGTGCCCCAGATAAGATCTCGTGGCAGCTGTAATAACAAAAGAGCTAGCCAGTGCAGTAACCACTTGATTAAAAACGAGGGAGTGCAGACGTGCAGTGGCACGCATTATCATACGATGGGAAAATCTATGCGACTGAAAAACAAAACATTGGGTCATCCTGAAGTGGGAACCAAACCACTGCGGTATTATAAGAAATTAGCTAAATTAAACAGCGGCCAACAGATCTCAATTCAGGGATTACAGAGCAATATCCAGCGAGGCAGTTAAGTCAGTTATAATTATAAAGTGGGGCACTGGCCAGTGGTCAAGCGACAATCTGGCCCGGATCCAGTGCCGAATTATTTTAGCTCCGGTATTCTTGGTACATATTATCATGATTTCATGGCATGAATAAATTAAAAGTTTGAAGTTGAATTTTGGCTAAATTGGTGCAAATGAAAAATTTTAGGAGTTTTCACAAATCATTCAGTAGTTATTTACTAATCAATCCTAAACTGAGTGTTCTTGAGTATATGATGAGCATGAGTCGGCAATTGCGAACAATTTGCTGTTAGCAACTGACCCTTTGACCTTAAGAAACCGTACTTTTGAAAAATGTCCCTTTCGTATAAGACGCAAATATACTGCTGGCCTGCGCCCATTAAGAGAAATGCCCAATTTAGTAGATCATTCTCCGTTTTTTTAGGTGTTTCTAGATACAAAGTGAGTCATTTTGCATCTTGTGACAAATGCTATGTTGCTCATGAGTCTTTAGGACCTTTTTAGTTAACAGTCCAATAGCCCACTTGTGAGTATATATTGTCATTGTTCGCTCGGCAAAACTCCGTTTTTCAGCCACATTTCCGAAAATAAGCATTATAAGGTATATACTGAGATATTGCTTCATAAGTTGTAAATAAATATGGCTATTAGGCACATTTTGGTGTATTGGAATAGTCTCTACGATGTGCCTGGGCTGAAATACAAAAATTCGATTGACCGTGAAACCCTGAAAAAGGGGTGTGGCCGAAAACGCCCCTATTGCATTTATTGCAAAAATGAAATAGTGACCAAATGTTTTTAGCATCTAGAGAGGTGATAACCGTCGAGAAATCGCTTTTAACACGAAAAGCTAACGAAATAGCCTTTTAGAAGGGTTGGGATCCGACTACAGTAGAGCCACACACTAATTGCATCCAGTAAAGCCACACACAAATTTAATTGTATTCGTTTGTAATTTTGTTGTCTCTTATCAGCTTGCTTATCTCGCCTAGTTTAACAGCGAGATTACTGTGTGTGCGTTTAAGCCATGGCTACTGTTAACGACAAGGAGTTGGAGGATCTGCTCGGGAAATGTTCTGCTTGGATACCTAAAGCGATGGAAAAAGTCGGGTGCACTGCTCCAGTAGACGTGACGTCAGCAGTGTGTAAACATGCGATGAAGGACACTTTGGCTTTTTTTCTGAATCGTTCCACTTTGTGAGGTTTCAGGCGGAAAAAATTAAATAGCTAAAGGCTGAGCTGAGCTCCATCAAGAGCCGGCTAATCTAGAATCAGACGTGGGTAATCAGCAATTACAGGAGCAGATTATCGACAACAAGGAAACGCAGCTCGACGCAGTGGCGTAACGTTGCCTGTTGGCGCCCCCCTGCCGAAAAAAGCGCCCCCCTGTTGGCGCCCCCTCCCCTTATGGTGCCCCTCCCTAAAATTGAACAAATTAGGTGATTTTAAAGAATACGCCGGTAAAATCTCTAAAAAAGTGTGTATCTAGAGCAAAACGCGCAGTTTTGCTAGTACCTTTAGTTAAGTTTTCGAAATTGTCCCAAATTCAAACGACGATTTGGCGCCCCCCTGTGGTCAAGTCTTCAGTGGCTGGGAGAGCAACTTGAAAGAACAGTTCAAGTCATACAGTGAAGCTGCTGCGGAGAACGATATGGTCTACCAGACTGATAGTTTGCAGCAGATCCGGCTACACTGAAGAAATTTGTCAAGTCCGTTATCCTGGAGGAGGATCGGAGCAGGAACGTTGTATTATTTGGACTGCCAGAACAGAAGGGCGAGAATGTGGCAGAGCGGGTACAGGAGGTATTCCAGGAGATAGGACTAAAAGTAAAACCTACTCGGCAGGCTACCAGACTACCAGAGTAGGAAAGATTCGTAAAGAGAATTCGAAGCGCCCAGTCAAGGTTTCGTTATCAAGTCACAGCGCTGTCCATCAAGTGCTATGTCAAGTCAAGAAGCTGCGCCACTCATCGACTCTGAACAAAGTGTATGTGAGACCAGATCGCTCCGCAGAAGAGCGATCTTAGGACAGGTTCCTGGTTCATGAACTGGTGAAGAAAAGAAAATTGGAACCGCGTATAAACTGCATTTCATACGATCGGGGACAATTCACTTAAAAGACAAGCCGATCGAGTGATGATGTGTGTTGTGGCTGTGGTATGTGTGCGGTTTTTAAAGATGGTGAATGTTTATGCATACCACCTTGCACTAGCTTTTCTTGTTTTCGCTCCATATGAGCACAAAAAACTTCATAGTTTTCACAATATTTTGGTTTGATTTCATTTTAGGCTAATGAAGTGTTGGGGTGAGTTCATACTAAACATGAACCATGTGTGCAGTGCCCTGAACAGAGAGATTATTCATTCACTATTATTTTATATGTTTTAATTGGTCATTAGAACTTTAGAACCGCCTGGCACCGTCCAGCTTTCAATCAAGTATCAATTTAACTATATTTCGGGACTGCGATAATATCAATCAGACATAAATGTGAGCACTTTGTTATTACAACAGAAATCATTTATCTAAACTTGTTTGAAGTATTCCCACACCATGACATTCAAACCAACAAGTTGAGTCTTGCAACCCAAAACATTTTCACGTTTGTAGTTTTACAATTTGAAATTGAGTGGTACGTGGGAATTTATCACAGTAATAGTAATACCTCGCTATAGTGCGCATCGAAGGACAAACGAATTTGGACCAATAAACCAGATAATAAAAATTGAAAATACTTTTAGTTTTATCAACTGTGTTCATCAATCGTATCCATAGTTAAACCTTCGTTGAAAGATTGAAGGTCCACTCCAATACTTGGTGCTCCAATGTGATGCACGTCTATTTAACCTATATCAACTTTCCGATCTACATTTAATTTCTAACCCCCAAACGTAACCTGGATCTTTTAGCATATCGCATGTAAAATACAGTGATACTATTACAAAGTATTATCTATTAGAATCATGAGGCTGTCCAGTGTGTATTGGACTGAGATATGACACTACTATAGTTATATATCCCGGGGAAGTGGGGCAACTATAGTGGTTGTGCAACTTGAGCTAACTTAATTAGTGCTTGTTTCCTAAACATTTAAAATTCGTTATCTATACTTAAAATATTTATATTGTTTCACAATAATTGATACCTCTGGCTCAATAGAAACTAGTTATTTTTTAAAAACATGATGCTAAATAAGTAACAAGTTTTGGCAAAACTCACATTTTGACATCGTTTTCTTTGGCTTCCTCGTTCATTTTTTCTGAGAGCAGTCTGCCTCGGGCCTCCGTATGACAAAATGACGGACTTTTAGGTTTTTGAAATGCCTTAAATCGTTCATATTAATTTTTGTTTAGAACTATGTCCGATCACGCAATTTTTGGACAAATAACGTCCAATAAAGTACTCATATTTATTACATGAGATTGCACGTTATGTGAAAAACAAGCTCCTGATTAATACCCACAGAAACCAAACGTTTGCAGTGAGACCCCTTCCATTACACTTACATCCCATCAAAGCTCACTTGCATATAAATATAATATAACACTATTAGAAGATATAGCTATATAATATAAAGCTATTAGAAGATATACCTATAAGGCCCACTATAAAGAATAAAATAGATTGCTCACTGTTCAGCACATATGGCTATGCGGATCCAATCGAAGATATAAATGATATCATGAAATAATGAACGTCGATAAAATGAGCAGCATGGGCCGCCGCTTTTTTCAATGAGATTATCACTTTCTCATCAAAACAGGAGGATGGTAATTGGAAATCCT